GAAAGGATGTCACCACTTTCATTAGATTCGGACATACAGCTATAAATGGTCTGGGCTGGTGTCTGTGCAATGCTAGTGCTATAGGGAGAATGACCCCTATTGTTAGAAAGAAGAGGGTTTGTCTGTATGACCCCCAATAAAAATCTGTGCTCGGCAGTTCCGCCCAGCCTCTCAATCTGTAACAGCTGGGAACTTCTGTTTACATCTGCGCAGTGGACAGCTGAGATGAGCTTCCAAATTAAGAACGTCAGTGTAAACAGCTGCCCGCTAAAAGTCAGATTGATTGTTTAACGATGCTTGAATTGGTTGATGACCAAATATTCTGGGTGGGTGGAATGGATTTTGTTCCTTATATTTCCATTTTGACAAACTAATCTTAGTCTGTTGGACTTTTGCCCCCAAATCCTAACTAGCAGTCTCATAATTAGCATTACTTAGAAATTCTAAGAAACAAAAGTATCAGTGCCCTTTTGAAATCAGTGGTTAGAATCAGGGCAGTTTTGAAACATTCGGTTAGCCATCTTGATTCAAAATTGTGTCTGATGGTATAGAAACAGGGACGAAAGCCTGCTCCTTGATCTCAGGAATTTGATTGCGATCTCTTAAGAGGTGTCCAAATGCACAGAGAACAAATAGGTTTCCAAAATTTATAGCAGATGTTAATAGGGCTTTCTGTATGTCATGACCAACAACTTTTGCATTGTGTTCTGTACAACAGAGGACTCTGAATTGGAGGTGAAGGCTCTCACAGAGCTCTTGTCTTCCCCCTCCCAGCACCACAGGATCCAAAGACTGCAAAAAAAAGTGAGGGTCCTTTAACAGCTGGGTAGCTCCACAGTTGGGGTGGGGCTTAGTTGACCACAAGTTCAGTCAACATATATAAGCAAGTGCTTGTAGAGACAGCAGGGTCTAAGGTCTAAGGGCTTCCAGGATGAGAGGCACCAGAATGGGTGGGGTTGCAACGGAAGGGTCCTCATTTGCTGAGGTCTGTGGCTCAGCTCCCTTGTGGACTCCCCTGCCATTTAGCGCTTGTGTCCTGGTCCGGGCTCCAGTTCCCATGTTCGGTATTGGCTGGGCAGCTCCCCTTTCCAGTCCATGACCCCAGGCTCTCCAACTCAAGTTCCGGTAGGAATGAGAGAGCAGCATCTCTGTCAATCCAAGTCTATAGTCTATTTGGTTAATCCAAGTTTAACCAAAATGGCCCAAAGGCCTGATGGTATAGGGCAACTTCCTGTGTTATGCTAGACTAGGTGGGCCGTTAGCCTGGTCCAGAAGGCTTTTCTCATGTTCTTAAAACTCATCTGCCGGTGTGGTTGGCTTTCACACATGGTAAGAGACTATCTTGTCCATCTCAAGCAACAAAATGTCCTGGGAAAGCCCAAAGAGGGAGAGCATTGGAAGACATTAATTGGTTCCAGTGCTTTTTTTCTTGAAAAAAAATGTTTAGGGGTACTCTCATTTTCCTACTCATATTGAATAACTGCCCCTCAATGAGGCCAAACTTAGATTCACAAAATGTTTAGGGGTATGCGTACCCCTGCATCCCCCCCCCAAAAAAGCACTGATTGGTTCAGAGAAGCCATGGTAGGGGGAAAATGCTTAACCCTTTGCCAAACAACCCCCACCTAGGCTACATTTTTTCTTCTCAGTTCAGAACATGCCTTTGCTATGTGACCGTGCCTTTGCAAATACTTTGCTGTGTGACGGCCTTGTGTGTTGTCACTTTGCTTTATACAGCTACGTGGTTCTTCTGTTGCTGGAACAACCACACTAATCCACCGCGTTGAAAAGGCCTTTAGACCGCAGGACAGCTCATCTTAATGCCAGCAAAGCCGCAGACTGTACAATAATGCAACAATCTCATCCCTTGGTCTGGCAACCCTAAGCCTGGGATTTTAAGACAAGGCTTCCCAGGTTCAAATTCAAAACTGTCTGGTTGGCCATTGAAAGGTGAATGGCTGGATTTGTCCTTGGATCCAAATCGCGTCCTCATCGCTTGAGTACACGCCAGATATGTAGGTAGGGACAATGCCTCTGCTTCACCAAGACACGAGGGTGTCGGCTTGGCACACTCGAGACATTTCACGGAAGCAAAACTTTGTAATCGCTCTTGCTTCCTTCGTTCTTTCTATAGCAAGGCTTCCCATCAGCCCCATCAAAATGATTGATGGAGGAGGTAAATGGTCCAGTGGCGCCGTCTTGGAGGTGGCTGTCTGTTAATGAAGGGGAAAGACGAGGGAGAAGGTGTCCTTTGACACCACTCAGGGCTCTCCTATCAGCTCTGGAGAGCAAGGCAGCATGAATGGCTTGTTTAGGGTGGGTTATTTGCCGACAAGAGTCTATGCAAACAAGAAGCCTTGGGAGAATGTCAAGGGAACAGCTGCTCCCATCTGGCAAAGGTGAATGCAGTTTGCAGAGCAAACTTCCCCCTAATTCAAGCAAATACTGTTACAAGTGCTGTACCTGGAAAAGAAAACATGTTTACTGGGAAATCAGTGTGACTAGAAGGGGGTGGGAGGGATGGAAAAACAAGGGTCAGGCCTGCTTAGATTTCGCACTCAAGGGGGACAATAATGTTTTTGCGAAGCAAGCCCTTTCCCGGACTAGTCTAGCAGTGCCTTCTACCCTGAGAGTGAATAATTATCAGGATGCTGTTCATCAGGGGAGGTGTCCCCTGAAAGCCACACTTTATCTTAGAGAAACCATCCCTTTGGGACTGGTAGGGCAGAAGGCAGGGAGGCCAACACTAGGTGGCGCCAGAGCCAATGATGGGCAGAGACAACTAAGTCTAGTCTTGTCCCCAACCACTTCCAGGTACAGCACTTGTACCTACAGGACCGCCTCTCCTGGTATGTCCTATGGAGGGCCTTACGGTCTTCAAATAAAAACATCTTGGAGATCCTGGGCCGCAGGGAGGTTAGGTTGGCCTCAACCCAAGCCAGGGCGTTTTTGACCATGACCCCGATCTGGTGGAATGCTCTGTCACAAGAGACAAGGGCCCTGCAGGACTTGACATCTTTCCGCAGGGCCTGCAAGACAGAGCTGTTCCACCAGGCCTTTGGCCAGGGCACAGCCTGACCCCCTCCTTCTGTAATCCTCATAGAACTCTAGCCCAATGGTTGCCATTAATTATATTCTGAATTGATTTTAGAATATATTTCAATTAATTGACTGTGATTTTATGTAAACTGTGCTATTTTTACTGTTGTTAGCCGCTCTGAGCCTGGCTTTGGCTGGGGAGAGCGGGATATAAATTATTATTATTATTATTATTATTATTATTATTATTATTATTATTCCCTGATGAGTTCTACAAGGGCAAAACTGAGACTTTGAAGTAAGAAAACAGGCTGTTGGGTGCTGGCTAAGTACAGGTTGGTGGGACCGTGTCCCATTTGCCCCAAATGCACCAGCCTCCACTGCTGGACACTCGGCAGATGCTCAGAAGTACCCTTTTACATCAAGTTTCTCATTGTTAGAATTTCCATGCCTTGGTGCTAAAATCAGATTCAGGCTCCCTAGTGAGCACTGGCTGAAACGAAGGCCCCACTGTTTTTCCCCAGTAGCAGAATGATTGTTGTCTCAGGGCACCACTTTGCTAATGCTAAGCCAATCAGGGTCTGGCCATTGCCTGGATGACACTATGGGCATGTGAAGGCACAGTAGGGTAGAGATGTGGGGGTGGCAGGAATTGGACTAAGTTGTTGTTTAAAGGTGAATTTACCTAATCTGCACTTTCTGAAGCAATATGCAAACCAAGACACAGCTGCTCTTTGAAATTCACGCTTCTCCAGGTTTCGCAGGGCCAAATTCATCAGGCAAGTAATGTGCGCAAAAATGCATATACTAAAGTATGCCAAAAAAAGGGCAGATATTTCTTGAAATAACATACACAAAAGCATTACATTAGAGGAAATGGGTCTGCAAAAATGTGTCGATTAGGCAAAATGACATGCAAAAATGTGTAGAGTAGCAAAGATTTGCCCTAAAATGCTGATGAATTTTCATGAGGACTGCCTTTAAAAACATGCGGACACACAAACTGATGTGGAAATGTTGAGAACTGAACTTAAGAGTGGGCAAAAGGAACTGAAATATACAAATACACCCATCTCTACAGTTAGAGTTACCGTTCTTGTTAGTCTTGCTTCCTTCTAAAAGCTGGGCAGAGCCTACTAGGCAGAAATGACCCCTGTGATGGTTTTCCCATCAGCAATATCCACTCTAGATACAGCTTCACTGCTTCATTTCTTCAGTTAGTGTTTATTTAAGGCATAAGAACAAAACCCTCACCCCAAATGTGTGAACCCTATGGGACGTGAGAAACTATGGACACCAATATAATATTACTTGTTATATTTATGAGACTTCTTTTATAATATACCATCTACTTCTGTCCTCCAAGACTATCCCATTTTACTTTTTCCCTCTGTATTCATGAGGGCTAGAAACTTAACAACTTTCAATATAGTATTTGATTCTTTCAAAAGTATTATGTGCTGAATGAACTGTGCCATTTGTCCTGAGTTCAGGGATTAAAATGATTTATGTAAGCCCCACAAGAATGTCTTCCAGGTTCCTTATGAATGCAAACGGCGATACCACGCATGTGCAAATGGTTTCTGCACCAAGTGGTTTATGGCGGCTTTCTGGACCTGAACAAAATCCACAGCTTTGGAAAAGATCCAGTCCCAGGGATCACTTGCGAGGCTGGGAAAGCAAAGCTAGGTCTGGGTGCAAAGAGATGCATGAATAGCATGCTGAACTCTTGGTGTTTTACAGGCCAAAATAGGGCCACTCTCATCACAAACACACACACAAAAACACCACTCCATATTACAAATGAATAAAAGCTCTTCCCTGCCTGTTGAATGCTACATTAATATATTCTGCAATAGCCTCTTCTGTGTTTGCTTCAGAAGTAGATGTGCTATGAAACCAGCTTTTTAAAAAAAATATATGCCAAAATTAATTGGGAGAATGTTTTTATTTCACAATGGATCTTGTATGATAGCTCAGTCGGAAGAGCATGAGACTCTTAATCTCAGAGTCGTGGGTTTGAGCCCCACATTGGGTGAAAGATTCCTGCATTGTGGGGGGTTGGACTAGATGACCCTCGTGGTCCCAACACTACCATTCTATGATTCTATGGGTGTACTTATTGTGGGATAGGTGCCAAGCCAAAGAACATTTGCCAGCATTCGTTAGTCCTTCTTAGCAGAGGCATCTGTTTTCCTCCTCTGGCGAAGAAGACGCTGGACTGGATGGGTCTTTGGTCTGAGCCACAGGGACTATTATTACATTATTATGAACTGGATAGGTGGAGATGGGGCAAATGTTAAAATATTATGACACGGTATCTTAGCATCCCTCTGTTTGTAGGTGTTCTTAATGTTCTTCGTTGTTTTCAAAGGCTTTGTATGTGCTTTGATTTTTCGTTGTATTGTTTTAACATACTGGAGGTTCCTGGCCTGGGCTCCTTTGGGAGGAAAGGTGGCATAAGGCATTATGTGCAGAATCACAAGCATGTCAGCTAGAACCAAGATGCTTCTGCTTCCCACTGAGAGCTTTTAGATCAGGAATGGGGAACCTGTGAGACTCTAGATGTTGTTGGACTCCAAATCCCATCAGCGCCAGCCAACAGGATGTATGGTGCCCTGCACCTCTGTTTCCACAGGCCAAGAAACTAAACAGACAAACTTAAAAAGGTGTGTGTTGTGCGGGGAGAATCAGAATTCTTTGTGCTCCCATTTCTTACATCCCAAGTAGTCTAATATACTCTTCATCTGAGTATGCGCTTCTTTGTGCCTGGCAACTAAAGTGTGCCATTTGTTTGTTTGTCTGTCTGTTACATTTCCATCCCAAACTTTCCTCCAAATAGTTCAGGTTTGATTCACTGCCTATCACTTACCAAGCACTCATTTTTTTGTGACACCATCTGAGCTGCAGTTACTTACTTGTTGCTCAGAAAACTCACAACGAATGCAATTCCAAAACTTCAGATCGGCAACATTGACCTTCGATACCACGTGTGTGACCTCTCAGTGGATGGTTGTTAAGAGAGAGAGAGAGAGAGAGAGAGAGAGAGAGAGAGAGAGAGAATTTTTGAAGGTTCGCTTTCCTCTTTGGACATAACACTATCTGGGCCAAAACAGATGTGACATTAAAAAGGCGCAGGTTCATTTAATGGGTACTGGATGTTTCTTTTCTTTTAACAAGAGCAGGTGTGGGGATGTTGAGCTGAGCCACAGTAAGGGGAAACTGGGTTTAATCCATTCCCCTGTGTCACAGCCCACACCCCTGGAGGTAGGGACTCATATTAGTTGCAGGGTGAAAGCATCAATCAGTGATGCTGGAAAAGAGAGCAGGGAGGGAGTCAGAAGAGACTCTCATGCAGAAAACTTCTTAATGCGAGACTCAGCAACACTTGCAAGAAGTCTGATGAAAAGGCGCCACCTCGTGGTTCTGTCCGGATCAGCGCTCTTGCACACACGCATCCTGCACCCCAATGAGGCACAGCCCACAATGTTCGGCAGATGTTCAGTAGATCTCCCTGACCTTCTGGAGAGGGTTATGGGGGCTGCAGGAGGAGGGAGAGGGATGGAACCAGCCGTTGCACAATCTGCCTCTCGCTTGCGCAGTGTCGGGTACAAACCTTGTTTCTACAAGAATTCCAATACCGGTTTGATAATCAAGGCCTTTCACGGGGAATTTCACTCTAGAAATTGTAGCTCTGTGAAGGGGTCTCCCAACAGCTCTTAGCGCACTTAGCAAGCTCCTAGAAGCCACAGCAGTTTGAAGTGGTACCATAGTGCTTTAAATGTATGCTGCAAAGGTGGCCTGAGTGTGAGACTGTCATAATGGGGAGCATGTTAGACCTGGACTGGGCTAGGCCTGGGTTCAAGAAAGCTCCTTTGAGAGGCCTCAGGCAATGCACATCTCAACGAGACCTACTTTGCAAAGTCATTGTGAGTGCAGCCCCAGTCAGCCACCCTCACCCTGTCATAGGGGAAGCATGAGATACAAACGCAGCAGATAGAAAAGCCATCCTCAAAGGCAATATTGCAACGTGTGCAAAGATGGGTTCTCTTACTCTTGAAAGAAAATCCCTGCTGCTTTCCTCAGAGGAGCTCTTCCTGCACGGCCAGGTAAAAGCGTATTTTGCCTCTGAGGGAAGTTGCGCCCAAGAGGCTGGCATTCCACCATGCCTCCATGCCATCGTCCAAGACAGCTGAATCCAGACTTTTGTCCTGATAAATGGAGCTGGGCCTAATCTTGGCTATCTTCTCTAAACTTGTTGCATTGGGAGATAGCGGCTGAAAGGTGTGTTTATATTGAGAATCAATGCCAGACACTCAGGGACTGGACTACACGGCGTTTTGTGATCAACCTGTTTACAGAAAGGCTGTGCAAACACGATTAGTCAGCTCTGCGGCCATTAATAATTAAGCCGCACAGCTTTCAATTGATTTTGTGGTGTGTGTGCTTTTCTTGCTGGAAAAAAAAATAGCAATATTTCATTCGTCTGCAAAGATATATATTTTGGCAAAGGCTGAATCCCAGATATGGAATGATTCCAATCAGGTCGGGGGAAAACTATGGTCACTAAACTCCTCTCCCAGCTTCCCCCCGGATGTGAAAAATATCTATATCTGTATATCTATATTTATATAATTAAATTTATATACCACTCTTCATCAAGAGTTTCCCAGGGTGGTTCACAGAATAAAATACAAGATCAAACACAAGTAAAAAATTAAACCAAAGCAACAATAAACCGAAGCAACAAAGCAATGAACTACTTGAGAGGAGTTTTCCATCTTGGTCAGACAAGACGGGCAGACACACCACAGATAATGCACATCAGGGCCACTGACTGACTTCTAGACTGGGAACCAGCTAAAGAATGAGATCCACAGTCCTGCTCATGGGTGGCAGAACCTCAGGCTCAGGGGTCAAATATGGCCGTCTGGGCTTCTTTATCTGATCCTGGACACAATCCCCAAGCCACACACCTTCTCCACAGGCCACATTCGTCACTGGTTTTGCTTCACATCCTAGGTGTTTTGGCCTAGCTGGAATATGTCCTTGAACCCTGAGAACGCCTCTTGCTTGTCTGGATGGAAAACAGAGAGGGTTGTGTTTATGTGTGTGGAAACTAGCCTATTGTAGAAAGGCAAATTTTCCTGTACCCAATTTCGCTCCCGCCAATGGCATGGAGTCACCCAGAAGTGAATGTAGCGCTTGGAAACAAGGGTTAGTATCCTGTAATGACTAAGCTGCACCCGGGATGGCCAAGCCTTTGGATAAAAGCAGCACAAAGTGTCCCTGTTTTCCAGGGATGTCCCTGATTTAGAGAAGCCATCCTGGTTTCTGATTTGACCCTGGAATGTCCCACTTTTCCTTAGGATGTCCCTATTTTCATTCGAGAAATGTTGGAGGATATGGAGTTATCTGAGCTGTCTGAAGGCAATTCTGTATAGGGAAGGGTTGTTGGTTTTTTTGTAATGTTTAATGTTATATTACAAGCTTCCTCAACTTCGGCCCTCCAGATGTTTTTGGCCTACAACTCCCATGATCCCTAACTAGCAGGGCCAGTGGTCAGGAATGATGGGAACTGTAGTCTCAAAACATCTGGAGGGCCGAGGTGGAGGAAGCCTGTTCTATTATGTTTTTATATACTGGGCAACCCAGTAAAACGTGTGGGATATAAATAGTAAAATTATCATTATGGAACGGGACATCCCTATTTTCACTGGAGAAATGTTGGACGAAGTGCATCTAGTCTGAAGCAGCCTTGAAATGATTATTTGCATCTATTGCTCATGCGTTTTATAATACAGGTAAGGTAATAGGTAATAGCAGCCTGATAATTGTAAGATCATAGCAGGAAAGAAGGGAGGGGGGATCAACGGTATTCTACCCTGATACGATCCTGACCAAAATCAATTCTCTGAAAACTGCTGTTTGCATTGGGAGAAAAGCTTCACACACAAAGAAAGTGTCAGTGGCATTGGATGAAATATTCCGAGGCCAAGACCTTCCTCTTTTAGGAAAGAAAGGAGAGAAAAAACCTAGAAGGGGCACCAAAACACCCACACACTCACCCACAATGCCCTGCAGCCCTCCTGACAGTGAACAACTTTTTAAACATTAACTCCCGAAGTCTCTCACAAAGAAGGCAAGGTGTTTTTCGTTTAGCATGTCATTAAACTAGGAAAATCTAGCAAGTGGTATTCTGTCCCTTACACAAGAGTGGCATCTAGTGGTTGTCTTTAGAATGTGTTAGCCTGTGTAGAACACTCTTTGCACAGCAACCATAGCTGGGACTCCGGAGGCCTCCAGGGGGAAGCAAGGGGATCCTGCAAAATTTTGTTGTTGTTGTTGTCGTTGTTGTTTAGTCGTGTCCGACTCTTCGTGACCCCATGGACCAGAGCACGCCAGGCACTCCTGTCTTCCACTGCCTCCCGCAGTTTGGTCAAACTCATTCTGGTAGCTTCGAGAACACTATCCAACCATCTCATCCTCTGTCGTCCCCTTCTCCTTGTGCCCTCAATCTTTCCCAACATCAGGGTCTTTTCCAGGGAGCCTGGAAATTTAGGTTTGTGCAATTAAAGTAGATTAAAGTGCTCTATCGTCCTCGTGCAACAAACCCACTTTTCTGCAGATCAGGATGCATGCTCGATAAGCAGGCTGTCTGGATAAGCCCCATGTTTTACAGGCAAACACAAAATATTGTCTGCTAGTTAACATGAATGCAGGGCAGGATGAAACTCGCAGGAGAGATTTGCCAGGTGTTGATTTCGCCCTGTAGATGTCCTCTGGCCCCACATCAGCACCTTAGGACTTAGGGCACTGTGGGCTGTTCCCCTGCACAGGGTGCCAAGCCGAGGGGGCGCAAAATCGAGAAGATCTGTAATTGAAAAGATCCATTGGGGAGGCCCCTAACCTTTGGTCTTGCACAGGCCACTGTAGTGCGAAAGATTGCCACCCCTGCCCACATTTCCCTGCAGCAAACACATGGATGGAAACCCAGTTTGCTTCCTTGTGCAGAGTTCTTCCCCTCCAAAAGGTTTG